TTGCGGCCCGACCGGAGATTTTTTTATGCTAGTAATGGCGGACGAAGCGAGAGAAAAGAATACGGTAAGAAGGGGAGGCTAGACCGTCCAAATCCACAGCCTCTTTTTTTCCGGTCTTCCCGGTCTACCAAGGACCCGGCCCGCCGAGACCGGGGAGTCTGGGTCCTCCGGAGGACCCGGCCTGTCGTTTTGGACACAGCCATGGAACCTGCTTCTGCTATGAATTATGGGTAGTGGTGCAACATACGAAGTGATGTAATGTGAGTTTGTCCTCTGAGACATGCAGGAGTTTGTACGTAATGATCACAGGATATTAGGACAATCCTCTGCACCACAGATCCTGAGCCTTTAAAGTCTTTGCTGACCATTTTGGCCAGGGGGGTTAATGCCACTTGCATTTATCCTCGTTTTAAGATTTTAAGCTCTAGTTTTCCAAATATGCGATATTTCCCTGTGAATCCTCAACTGTGGACTTTATTCATTTGGACACTTTGTCACATGTTTACATTTTATGTCTTAGATTTCTTGATATTTAGGCAAATGGTTTACAAAATCCATGAAATTTTCATCATTCAAATAATATTTGAGTTAATTAGATGTCAAACTAGAAAGACACAAATTAAGCAAACTAAAAATATGCAATATAGTGTACCAGACATTAATAACAGGGTTAGGAGAACTCATACGAATCAAGGACAATCTCCCACAATGCAATGCACAAAACTTATTGGAGAAGTTAAAACATTTTAAAGATTGTTAAATTACATTGAAAAGCAGATATTTATTACAGCTCAAAGATGAGCTGCTCCACAAGCCATTTGATGATGCTTGGCGACCTATAAAAAATTCTTTTTTTAGCTTTCTAAATGTTGCACGTGTTGTGTGTGTTTGTGAACGTACCTTCTCAGTGATGTCGAGGTCACAGGAGTCGATGCTGTCTGTGAACAGGTCCTCTGTGCTGCTGTCCTGRCTGCAGCCAAACACACTGTGATTGGCCTGGAACAGCTGGCTGCACAGACGGGTGCCGGCACAGACACACAAGTCATGAGCCCRTTAGAGAAGGAGGAGAAATCAAGACGCCGACATTCATCGTCAGATACAGTCAGTTACTCACCGTCCAAACGCCGTACTGGAAATCTTTCTGTTAGGACTAAAACACAACAGAGGCACAGTCAGAAAGGCTGACAATGATCCACAACTGTTTTTACATCGTTAAGCTCACAGAATACCATAARTACAGCCTCTACAGCCGGCAGTCACGCTGTCCTGAGGCCAACAATCCATAATAAAATACATTTGGAGCAAGGTTATAATAGTTTTGGATTTTTCATTATAGTTTAGTTTTATTTCGTTGGGACTTTTTTTTCTTTTAATTCAGTTAGTTTTAATTAGCTTTTACAGTGGATTTGCTAGTTTTTTTTTAGTTATTGCATTTTTAATGCTTAGTTTTAGTGTGGTTTAGTTTTTATTAGTTCTAGTAATTTTTTATAGTTTGAATAAACATTTCTGCCAATGCATCCTCAAGTTTGTGATGTTCCTGTCAGTTAACTAACCAACAGCTATTTGGTCACTAGTTAAAGCAGTCCATTATAGCGACACCTTCCTAAAATAATTGTGTAATTCAATTTGGCCAACTAAAAACTTGGGCGATTATTTYAGAACAATGATAATAGTTGTCTCCTGCCTGGTGCTTCCTATTGCTTGTTTTTCAAGGGAGCTACTGAGAGAAGCTAGCATGTAAAGATAGTCATAGTTAGCCATCTTGTGTGAGCTTGATTCAAGCAGTTTTTCCCTTGAGAATTATTCCACCTGTTTTATCCTGTTTCCATTACAAGACATTTGCTTTTATTTTTCTCACAGTCATATTCAAAGGAATCCCAAAGTGGACGTTGCTGTTTTCTCCCAACTTTTGTTGTCGTCATTTAGCAGATGAGCGCTGAGTAGCAGCAGACTGTAAACAAGCATTGTTACGGATCATGAGGTGCTGTAAGCTGCCCACAGGTAATGTGAAACTACTCAATTAAAAAATTTATTAATTAAAAAAATTGACAAATACTAAAACTAGGGATATTCTATCTATAATTTCAGTTAGTTTTGTAAAAAGATTATACAGTTTTAGTTTATCTCTTTTCATTTTATTACAGTTTTTATTTATTTTAGTTAAAATGCTTTTTCAATTTCAGTTTTCATTATTTAGTTAGTTTTCGTTAACTATAATAACCCTGGTTTGGATTTGACCTGAATCATTAAAGCCTATCACTAACTGCTGCAATGCCCCACGCTCACTCATAGACAACACTCATCATCCTTTCAAACTGGGATACGGTTGCTATGGTATCAGCTTAGGCTACGTGTTGATGTGGCTGCAGTATTTGGTGCCATGAACGTTTGTAAGAAGGCTGGATGTAGAGTGGACTGTAGAAGCATTCACCCTTCCTCTGTAATCATTGTTTTGTTGTCTTAAACACCGGAGCATGAAGAACGAGCAGAGAGCTCCTGTGGTTAGACGGACTGAATTGGTAGAGATGTGTCTGAAGAGAGGGATCTGTAAAGTACAGGCTGTGGAGGGGTGAATACATCTGCATCTACCCCTTTTTAAATCAACCAAAGGTCATGAAGACAGGGTTGAGCTGGTTGTTSAGCTGCTGGACATAGAGCTCATCTGTGAAGCATGGTGCAGGTAATGTCATGGCTTGGACGTGCATGGCTGCTGCTGGAACAGGCTCATTAATATTTATTGATGATGTAACTCATGAAGGTTACAACAGAATGTGTACAGAAATATTTTGTCTGCTAAATTACAGAGAAATGTATTCAAACTAATTCAGAATAATTTCATCATGCAGCAGGACAATRAGCCAAAACACACCACCAACAAAACAAAGGACTTCATCAGGGGGGAAGTGGAAGGTTTTAGATTGGTCAAGTCAATCACCTGGGGCCTCATGTGTAAACGGTGCGTACGCATTAAAAAGTTGTGTGCGCCAGGTTCTACGCCCACRTTGGGATGGATCAAAACCAACGTTGCGTGAAAGTGTGYGTAAATATASGCACACTTTTCACCTGCCGTGAGAGTTTTTCAGTCGACAGTTTTAACCCACAAAGTCATGAATCTGACCTGAATCCACAGAAATATGACTCTGTTCTGTTTCCTGGATGTAAGGAGCGTCTGAACACGGTGTTAGATTTTTTTCTTTGAGTTTTTATTGTTTAAACTCGAACAATCATGAAACTGAACCCCAGGACTGAAAATCTTTTAACCTCAGACAAGAAAATAGATCAGTCTTTAAAAATGATCAAAAGAACCTCAGTCCAGTCTGTAAAGTGTTTATTTTGTTGTCACGTAGTTGGAAACACACGCAGAGCGCAGRMCTGCGGAGTGCACACACAGCTGAGGAAAATAAAATGTGTGAATTGTTTAAGAAACATTTTAATTCTCACAGAGAAAAAAACTTTGTCAACTCAGCAGATTAATTCAGAACAGCTCAGCTGTAGGGCTGCCACGATTAGTCGATTAATCAACGACCAATCAATTATTAAAATAATCAATGACTAATTTAATAATCGATTAATCGTTTTCTTTTTTTTTGTTCTTTACTTTGTTTTTCTCTCCAAACTGCTTTGACACCTTCCACTGCCACATCTGCCTTTCTGTCCTTGACACACATGCACAGTAGTGGTAACTGGGGTAGGCCGTGGACGTCACAAGACATTATACAGACAGGCTCTGGTATCATGGCTACCTGACAACGGAGCTCAAAAGTGTGAGATCTTTTTAAGAAAATGAAAGAAACCTGTGTAATATCTGCAGAGCAGAACTTGTCTTCCACAGGTATTATTTTTAGTTAGCATATAGCTAAAATCTAACCATGGTTATATAATAGCAGCTGCATTCTGACACAATAAGCTCTTTTATGTATATATTATATATTTTATATATGTTTTATATTCAATGTATGATCCGATTAGTCGACTAATCAAAAGAATAATCGGTGATTAATCGATTATAAAAAAATAATTGTTTATGGCAGCCCTACTCAGCTGTGATGATTCCTCATCTCCACAAGATGCAGACAACAGATTTGTTGCTGCRTAAAGTTGTGCGTAATTYATGGATCAATGACAACTGTACTGCAGGTTGATATCACCACAAGAACAATTGAGGACAGCATGTTTTGTTTTTGTTTGTTTGTTCATTTGTTTGTTTTTTGTATCACACTGAACAAATTACAATCAGGTATTTTACTGTAGTTCTGAGTCGAGCCATGCAGCTGAATGAGAGACTTCATGATTCTAAAATATAAATCACACCGCGGCAGAAACTTGCGGCGCTGCGACTCACTTCTTCACATCAACTATTTAATATTTGTCTAAGTTCTRCCAAAGTCACAAGTTCCTCTGTGTTTACAGTCATGTATTAAAGATGTGGAAAGGTGGAAATGTCTCTCAGACTCATGCGCCRYTRAAGACAGCAGCAGCACACRCACGTACACACCAACACYCACACACAACTTTGCAYGWGGCAAACACATTTTCTCACTCATTCTCCATTTAATATACATATTTTCCCTGCATCTAAAAATMATTTCTGATCCCACAGAGAGGACAATCTGAGGAGAATCTCACATGCTGGACACATTTACATCTATTTTACAGATTTAAATGGAGGCGTGYCAGGGGAGGTGTCTCAGGTGCGCTAAGTTCCACGTTCATTGGGACGTATAAAGAAAAGGTGCGCAGGAACCTGCATGCGTACAGTTTTATACATCTGAATKTTTTGGTGCAGCGCACTTTTCTAAATTTGTACCTATGCCAACTTTTAGTGTGAAAACTGCGCACTCCTTTATGCATGAGGGCCCTGACCTTAACCCAATAGAGCATTTCACCTCCTGAAGGGGAAACTGAAGGAAGAAACTCGCCGAAACAAACAAGAACTGGTAAAAGTCTGGAACAGCATCACAAATGAAGAATACAACAGTTTGGTGTTGATGGCAGTCATTGCAAACAAGGGTTATCCCCCCAAATATTAAATGTTATTTACTTTAAAAGAATTTGCTCCATTACTTTTGCTCACCTAAAAATGTTGTGATGTAATACAAACTGTGATAAATCCCAAGTTGTTCAACACATCTACATGTAAATACCAGGAAATAAAAGCTGACATTCAGAACTCTTGTCTCGTGCTTATCTTTCAATCTTAAACTGAAAAGACTTGAGATAATTTGAAGTTCAATTTAGGTTGTTAACTCTTATTTAAAATTCTTTAACTTATTTTCAGATGTTTTCGTTATTTATTTAAAAAACTGATAGTAAGCGGTGTTTGTCAGTATTTAGAGCTTCGATCCCATCTCCATGTTTGCTGTCTATGATGTAAGGTCTAATCATGTCTTCATTTGTCTTGATTTGCTTTCATCTGGAAAATTAAAACTTCTTTTTTTGTTAAATTTTTGTTAAGTTGATGTTGAATTTCATAACATCTACTGAGTCTCTTCTAGGTCAAAAATCAAGGCTGTTCCTTATCCTGTGATTCAACTTCCCAACAGGTTTTCTATAATTCAGCTGTGTAATTTCTGTGATCATGGTCAAAATCCTGGCCTTGCATTCCTTAAAAAAATGCATAACACTGTTAAAATCTGTGCCCTTTGTTAAGTTATTTGTTCTGTATTTGGCTCTGTTTTGTGTTTATCTGATTAGTCTGTTCAGTTTGTGTTCTGTCTTGTGTTTAGTTTTGCTTCTGCCACTCCTACCTGCTCCTGCTCAGTCTGTGTGTGCAGGTGTTTGTACTTTGCTAATGAGCTCTGATTCTTTATGCAATTTGGTTGTGTTCTTGTTGGTTAGTTGGGCATTAACATGTCTTCTGTTTGCCTACAAGTAAGTAAATTTGATTTCTGTAAARTTGACTGAATTATAGACATTTTTGTGGTTTCCATGTGAAGTGTCTGTGGCAGCCATCTTGAATCTGGTTGACTCCAAAAAGGTGACGAGTAAAGTAAATACACATCCAAAATCCTGTAAACACTTCCTGAAATCTTCACTCAAAWTCTTTCTCTGGTTCATGAGATATTTTGGAAATAGACACACGAACATAAAACATCACACCACCTTCAGCCTTAGGGGGAGGTGATGATAAGCAGTGGTTCCCAAACTTTTTGTCTTCTGACCCACAAAATATCCATGGCAAAAACTTGTGACCCCAAATATTACACGAACTTTGTTAATAACCCTAAAAACACAGGCTTTTTGACAACCTAAACAGCTTGTACA